AAGGGCTGAGGGAACAGTAATAGATCATAGGTAGAAATTTAACTAGATGTTTTGAATAGAAAAGTTGTTAGTATAAGGAAGTTGTTCCGTTTCTTCTTAACTACAAAACTTTAAGTGTTTTTTTATGTTCTTGTTTTTCTTGTTTAATCAATCATGAGAAACAACTCTGTTGTCAGTTGTTATAGAAAATAATGTCTAGGTACATGTTATGATTAATGAATCTATAGAAAATAATAGGTGAGGGTAGAAATATGAGTTAAGATTTAGAATAGTGTTTTAAGGTTAACTTGACATTTTAGGATGTCAGAAAGATTAAGATATTTTAATAAGACCATTTACGTATCAATGATAAAGAATACTTGATGGATGAGAAGAACAGGATAAGAAAAATACCTTTGTTAGCATTGTATAGACACAAAGTAAAAAATGATATAATCAAGGATGTGTAATGAATGCTTCAAAGAAATTGATTGTGTATGAGATCATTGTACACTATGAGATTTTAATGGTATATAAGGAGCTGAAAAAATTAAGTAAAAAAAAGCTTCAATCAGAATTCAGCACAAACCATTGACTCTGTGTGATTTCTTTCGCGGACTCCAAATCTCCCTTCATGAGCCCCCTAATACGTTTGTCGGGGCTGGTCCCCGACAGGATAATATCCATATGCCTACAAGGAAGACCAGTTAGTCCACTACTATTCAAATTTATGCACCAACAACTAAAATCAGTGATGATAAAATTGAAGAATTCTACCAATTTCTTCAGTCAGAAACTGATCATACAATTCATCAAGATATGCTGACTGAAAATTAATGTTGGATTGGAATGCGAAAGTTGAAAACAAAGAGGATAGAAAAGAGGTTGGAGATTGCATGACAGAATTTTCCAAGACCAATGAATTATCCATAGTAAATATCTTTTTAAACAACAAGAAAGGCTACTATACATATGACTCTCACCAGATGGAATATCCAGGAATCAAACTGACTACATCTGTGGGAAGAGATGGTACAAAAGCTCAATATCATTAGCCAAAACAAGGCCAGGGCAGACTGTGAAACAGACCATCAATAGCTCCCATGCAAGTTTATCCTGAAGCTGAGGAAAATTAAAATAAGTCCACTAGAGTCAAAATATGACCTTCCATGTGAATTTAGAGATCATTTCATATTTGATACATACACTAATCACCAAAGACCAGAAAAGTTGTGGAATGATATCAAGAACATCATGCAGAAAGAGACCAAAAGGTAGAAATGACAAAAATGGATGTCAGGAGGTCTTTGGACATTTGTCCTCCATCTCAGGGAAAACCAAGATAAAAAAAAAGAAAACAAATTCAACCCAGAGTGACCATGATCAGATTTAAAAGTGAACTTCTTGCTTATAAAGTTGAATAATATAGCTTTCCTAAGGAATTCTAAGGAACTATTCTGGTAGTGTAGTGGTTACGAATCGGGCTGCGAACCTTAAGGTCAGCTGTTCGAAACTACCAGTCGCTCTGCGGGAGAAAGATGAGGCTTTCTACTCCCGTAAAGATTTACACCTTCGGAAACCCTGTACAGGGTCGCTATGGGTTGGAACCGACTCGACGGCACTTAACAACAACAACAAATTTATTTATAAATTTCTACTTAAGGACAGTGCAAAAGAAGTATGACATAGTCTCTGTTTCCCAGTAGGTCACAATTTAGTTGGAGAGATAAGACACTCACTTGCAAAAGGATGGATAACACAAGATAATAAATCTAGACCTGCAAATACTTGGGATCAATTAATGGGCCACTCTTGGCTTCCACTACTCCAAGTCTATCCAGTAATGAGGCAGAACCACTATATTTATACAACACCTTTTACTGAGAAATCCATACCATCTTCTCATATTAAGATTGGGTCTTACTAAAAAAGTTTTACAATCTAGGAAGAATGACCTCTTTTAAAGATAAAATAATAGTTGGGTTGTGCTGAGCCTCTATCAAGCCTTTCTCTCTCTCTCTGTCTATTTATCTAACTAAAATTCCCTAATCTGTTTTAATGTCAATTAAAACCTGAGGATCTTACATACACACATATACACTCTACACCCTCTGTGTAGCCTTGTTCATAGCTATGCACATTACTGAATCATTTTTAAAATCAGAACACAAACTTACCAAAAAATAACCTAAAACGTCCAAAGTGTGAAAGCCATAGGGGCAGAAAGTAGATCAGTGGTTGTCAGGGGCTAGCAAGAGGGAGGAAAAGAATGGACATAAGTTTTCTTTCTGGAGAAATAAAAATGTTCTAGAATCAGATGGTTATACAACTCAGTGAATATACTACAAGCTACTGAACTACTGTACACTTTTAAATGGTGGATTTGATGGTATGTGAAATTTATCTCAGTAATAGCGTATTTTTTTTCATTCTAAAAAAAAGGATGTCAGAAAAGACTGAAACTTGCTCTTGAGCACAGAGAATCACGAATAGAAAGCCTTGACTAGGAAGCCAAAGAATTATATACTGAATTGTTGTTGTTGTTAAGTGCCATCAAGTCGGTTCTGACCCATAGCGACCCTGTATATGGTTCCCAAGAAGTGACTGGTGAGCGTCAGGTGCATTAATCCACAGCGCCACACCAGGATTCCATATACTGAATTGTAGTGAACTTAATTTCATTTTCCTATTTACTTGTTTATCTCATTTCCCATTTACTTTCAATTGGCAGTACTTCTAAAATTTTAATTTTTCTGCAAGCTTTTTCCCAGCCTCATTTACCAAGAGGTTTGTGATCTTAGTATAAAATTAGATGTAACCAACCTAGGTTCTAACTGTGGCTCTACTTTAGAAATAGGTAAAAATTTAGATAGCAATACAGTGTTGTTAGGTGCCATCGAGTCTACAAATCAAATATATTCAGGAAATCGTGAAAAGAAAAATCTTGAGTACTTAGAATTTCAAGGAGAGGAATTTAACTTTGACTTGCTTATTTTTGTTGCTAAGTGCCATCGAGACAGTTCCAACTCATAGTGATGCTGTGTAGAGTTTCCAAGGAGCAGCTGGAGAGCTTGAACCAGTGACCTTGTGATTCAAACAGACCTTGCAGTCTAGCGCATTAGCCCACAGCGCCACATTGGGGCTTGGTTATTAAAAAACATAAAAAATTCCAAAGGAAAGGTACTAACTTACAAATCACATATCAAATAACAACTTTCACTCTGTGAAACAGTCATTTTAAATACAGCATACACATTTAAATAACTTTTAAAGGAAAAAATTCTAAATTATGCCAAGAAAAAGTTAATAAATGATTCTTACTAAGTTATTGTCATCCTGGAAAGCATAATGCAAAGTTGTAATCCATTTGTTGTCTCCATTCACTAGTACATCCCTCTCTTCTCGAAAACATGCTGTCTGAAAAGGAAAAAAAAATTAATAGGAAACACTTTTAAAAAAAATATGAAATGTATTATGCAAATAATGTCTAATTTGTTTTTTTAATACTATTTCTCTCTGGAAATGGAATACACACATTACTTTGTCTTTTAACAGATCAACCTAGTTTCACAGAACCTCAGAAATTGAAAAACCAGAACACATTTTTTAACATTTTTATTGTGTTTTTGGTAAAAGCTTGCATAGCAAATTATGTTCCCATTTAACAATTTCTACAAATACTGTTCAGTGACATAGACTACATTTTCCACATTGTATCAACATTCACGTTATTTCCATTGTTTAGAAAAATGTATTTAAAATATTTTATATTAGAAATACCATTATAGTTCAAACAATATAAGAAAAATATACAAAGTATAACAAATCACAAATCAAATCATAATTGAGATAAAATAAATGTTAACATTTTGCCATCATTTACTTTGGACTCTTTATCTCTTAGAGAAAATAATATATATATAAGTTTCAGTCTTCGTACTTCTTTCTCAATATCCTCCCTTCATACATGCATTAAATAGTCAAAAGTTACTATACATCCTTCCAATCAGATACTTTGATCATATACAAATAGGTCTATAAATGCTTCATATTTTGAAAACTTACATGAATGGCATAATTTTATTAATAATTTTCTAGTTGAATCGCTTTTACTTAAAATCATGTTTTCAGGATCCATCCATATATAATGACTGTTTTCCAGTTAACTTATATGGTATCCCATTGTTTGACTATAACAGGGTTTATTTATGAAGTGCCATAATAATGGAAATGTAGGTAATTTTGTACTAAATTTATAATTTTGTATTATTATAATGCTGCAATGTATTTATTTGTAAAAATGTACAAGAATTTCTCTAAGAGGTTTGCTTAGAAATATTGGATATAAGCATTTTGAACTTCACCACATAGCCAATTATCACTATCCTCTTGCATACAGTTTCTGCAAGAACTCTTCTCCCTGAACCCTCAGATGCACTTGGCATTATAAGACATTCAAATATTTGCCCAGATGATGGCAGCAAAATGATAATCTTTTTAGCCATATTCCTAATCACAGCTGCAGATAAATATCTTTATATATTGCTATTGAGCATCAGAGCTTTCTCTGAATAATTTATTTACTTTGTCCATTTCCTCTAATAGTCTAGCTTTTTAATATTCATTTATATGAGTTTTACTTTATTCCAAGAATATTGCGAGTTAAGGTGCTGGACTACAAGGTCAGTTTGAACTGCAAGGTCAGCACTTCAAGCTCACCAGCCACTCCTCAGGAACCCTACGCAAGGTCGCTATGAGTCAGAATCAACTTGATGGCACTTAACAATAATAGGACATTCTGGAGAACCTTAAAAATTTGTGGCTAAAAATAAAGTAATTTTATATAATACATTATTGTTAATTTTTTATTTGAAAAACTATGCTAGAAACTTCAAAAACAACTGAAAGGCAAAGTGGAAAGTAAAAACTTGCCTGATGCATAGGCTAAGTGGGACAGAGGTAAATAATGATGTATGTACAACCTTGGAACAACAGGGCTCTGGGAAACTGGGATTGACACATGGTTGGAATGGGGAAAAGGAGGGAAATGATGTTAAGATGCTTGGCTGTCTTTTGAATCTTGGTTTTCCTTGGATTATATTATAAAATAGATACTGTAGGAGGAGAGAAAGGAATAGCCAGAAATATCACCATAGAAAGCTTGTAAGTCCGTCTTCTGCCTAGAACTGATTGGAATACCTAAAATGGGGCTACAACGTGCCCAGTGAAGGAGGCGTCTGACAGAGCCTCTGCATTACATAAGACTACAGGTGGAATCCCGAACAGCATCCAGATCTTCAGAGGTGGGAAATTTCCACTTGAAAGGATGGGCAGACCAGCCTGGAGTGGCTAGAAGAACAGAAAGACCGACAGGAAAAATATAAAGCCATATAGGCAGACCGACTGATTAATACAAGAACAAGCAAGTTGCTTACCCAGGAGACATCAAGGCAAGTGGTCACATCCCCTCAGAGCAAACCCCCTTCCAAGACTAAGACTCAGTGGGAATACACACTCTGATTGGTGACCATGTTCGTCACTGATAAGGGGAAGTGAGGGAAAAAAAGCAATGAAGCTGCAAGTTAAACTCTACAATGTTCAATAGACTCTTGTGAACCCGGGTGGAGACCTAGTTGGCCAGCAGTGTGGCAAGACCTGGGGACTCTTGGGTCCAGAGACAGTGACAGCCACAGAGGACTAGAATGGAGAGTGAAGCATCCAGCTGATAAGAAGAGAGGGCATAAGCACAAGAACACCAACACCTGCAGATAATACCCACTTGACCTGGCTTCAATGACTGGATGATCAGAGCTCAACTAGAAGAAGAAAGAAGAGGAAAAAAAGAGTAATCTGATACAATTTGATGAACTTGACCTACACCTATGGATGCAGTAGCTCAAAAGAGGGAACAAATCTTTACAGCAAGGATCATTCCTACCTCCTCCATACACAGAGTAGACAGGGATGGGCAACTTGGACATTGGCTACTCAAAATGGGGGTGGGGGTGGCTACAAAGGCAAGAAGTGACTGGCTTACAAGCTTTCAAGAGGGAACCTAGATCCAGAGGGCATGGAGGAAGGTAGAGTCTCCACTGAATAGTATCCAATCTGTCTAGGAGGGGCTGATGAAAGGAAATGATGAAAGGTCTCTTGTGATACAATTATGAATAATTGTTATCAGGGCTGATTGTGAGGGTTGGAAATGTAAAGGCAGACATTTTGTAGCAAGGAGGGGAGTGATTAACTTTGCAGTCTAGGAGCAGAGGTCCCTGGGACCATTAAAGGAGAAGAGTAGAGAGTGGGACCCTACCCAGAGAAGCAGTGATGCCTGAGATGGAGGCATAGACGATGATGTGTACAGATGGTTCAGCTGGGGACTTCAGACACAGAGAGGGAGAGGGCTGTGTGCTGATGACCGGGAAGCAGGCTTGTAGTGTATACCCTTTGGTTGGTTGATGATGCATGGAGGGGACTGTAACCATGGCAATGAAACGATAAATGATAGGATGAATGTAAAACTAATGTTCTCCCATGTAAACTATCACATAACTCACAATAAAGCATTAAAAAAAAAAAAAGATTACACCCTTAAAAACTCTAATAAAAAAACAAACAAAAAAACTTGTCTGACCCCATCCATGACCAATATTCTCATTATATTGTCCACAGGTAACCACCATTAACATTTTGCTGAGTGTCGTCACAAAACTCCTCTGTAAACAGCATGAGCATGCCTACAGGCACATTCACACACATTATGTATTCATGTGGTGTCCAACATTCCCTCTCTTTTAAATTTTTATATACATGAGATCATGGTGGTCTGAAAGTCTTTTTTCTCAAACACACATAACTGGTATCCTCCCACATAATTACCTAATATTCCATATACATTAAAAATACGATTATACAATATTCTTTAGATGTTGTTGTTGTTAAGCATCATCAAGTCAGTTATGACTCATAGCGACCCTGCATAGGGTTTCCATAGAGAAACTGGTGAGTTTGAACTGCCCACCTTGTGGTTAGCAGACGAGGCTTATCCTACAGTGTCACACCAGGACTCTTTCTATATATGGCAGCTGTTGTTGTTAAGTGCCATCAAATTGGTTCCAATTCATAGCAACCCTATATAGGGTTTCCAAGCAGCGGCTGGTGAGTTTGAACCTCCAACACTGCAGTTCAAACTGACCTTGTGGTCCAGTGTTTACCCTACAACGCGATACCAGAAGTACACATGTTGATGTTGTTGTGGTTGGTTCTGATGTTGCTGAGTTGGTTCTGATTAATAGCAACCCTGTATGGGCTTTAAGGAACGACTGATGTGTTTGAACTGCCTACTTTGCTGTTTAAACTGACCTTGCAGTCCACTGCTTTATCCCATAGTGTTATACCAGAACTAGATATGTTGTTGTTGTTAAGTGCTGTTGAGACAATTCCGGCTCATAGCGACCCTGTATAGGGATTCTGAGGAGTAGCTATTGAGCCTGAACTACCAGTGCTATAGTTCAAACCGATCTTGCAGTCCTGCGCATTAACCCACAGTGCCACCAGGACACCAGCACTATACATTTGTTGTTTTTAAGAGCCATCGAGTCGGTTCCAACCCATACCGACCCTGTATAAGATTTCCCAGGAGCAGTTGGTGAGCTTGAACCACTGACCTTGCAGTTCAAATGGCTTTGCAGTTTGGCGCATTAACTCATAGCGCCACACCAAGACTCCAGGACTGTACATTGTAGGTGTTTAGTAATTATTATTTCCTACAAGATAAATCCAATAGCCATGTTATGAAAAATAACAAATAATCCTAATTTTTCTTATTTCCATAAGTTTTATTTGACCAAATAGATTTTCCAAAGCTGTGTACAGTAAATAGCATCACTAAGGCAAACACAATAATTAAAACAAATAAATGAAGGGGTAATTTATATTATTAGATTATTATGTTAAGTATAGCTCTCAATAAGATTATTAAAATCTACAGCATTGGTTAATCTTTAGGGAAAAGTAGAATCACTTCACATACTATTAAATTCCATTTTATAATTGAAACAGGCACCCTAGTGGCATAGTATTTAAGCACTCAGGTTGAATCCACCAGACACTCCACAGACGTAAGATATGCAGTCAGCTTCGATAAAGAGTTATAGGCCTGGAAACTCTACGGGTCAATTCAACTATGTCTTATAGGGTTTCTATTAGTCAGAATTAGCTTGGTAGAAGTAGATTTGGTTTAACTCAAAGTTATGGTTCAGTGATAGTATTTCTGATTCTATAGAAACAAAATCTGCCTATATAAATTATTCTTAAACCTTGTTGCTATCAAAGCTACAGCATCAATTTTTCTGCCATATAAATAGTATAAAACCTTACTGGGGAGAATAAAGAATGATGCCACTAAAATTGAAATAAAA